TCTAAACATCAAGACTCTGAAGGTCCTTTTTGTTACCATGACAATAGAGGCCTCGCCGTGTGTGTGTGTGTGTGTGTGTGTGTGTGTGTTGCCTAATATTCATGGTTGACATTTTCCTTTGTTAAACTTGTGGTGTGAACTTTATCTGTGGTCAGTTGCGTAAACGGTGTCAATCCGTTATGTGCCAGAGTCGTGTGAGCCGGAGTCATGATGCCTGGGTACGTGGTGATGCTGACGTCACCTGTTATCTAACACACACACACACACACACACACACACACACACACACACACACACACACACACACAATCCGTTGATTGACGGTTGAGAGGCGGGACCAAAGAGCCAGAGCTCAACCCCCGCAAGCACAACTAGGTGAGTACAACTAGGTGAGTACACACACACACACACACACACAAAAGGCAAGACAAAAATGGCCAGCAGACGGGAGTGGAGGAAGTACAGAAGACAAAGAACAGAGGACAACAGGATCAGATGCAACAGAGCTAGGAACGATTACATTAACATAAGACGAACATCGGAAAGGAACTATGAGAACGATATTGCAATCAAAGCGAAAAAACAACCTAAGTTACTACATAGTCATATAAGAAGAAAAATGTCGGTGAACGACCAAGTGGCAAGACAAAGGAAGACAGAGGGGGCATATACTGAAAGTGACAAGGAAATCTACGAGGCACTGAATGCCAGTTTCCATGGAGTGTTCACTACCGAGCCTGAGCAGCTCCCATTGTTGGAAGGGGTTACCCTAGATGAAAGACTATCAGATATAGAGGTGACAGCAGAGGAGGTAATGAAACAGTTGACAACTCTAGATGCAACTAAAGCAGTTGGACCAGACAAAGTATCACCGTGGATACTAAAAGAAGCAGCGCAGGCCCTCAGCGTGCCTCTGGCAATGATCTTTAATGAGTCACTTATGTCGGGAGAATTGCCCAGTTGCTGGAAGAAGGCAAATGTCGTGCCGATCTTCAAGAAAGGTGATAGGGAGGAGGCACTTAACTATAAACCTGTATCACTGACAAGCATCTCCTGTAAAATAATGGAAAGAATAATTAGGCTACGACTGGTTGCACACCTGGAGAACATTAGGTTCGTGAACAAACATCATCATGGGTTCTGGACAGGGAAATCGTGCCTAACAAACCTTCTGGAATTCTATGATAAAATGACGAGGATAAGACAGGACAGAGATGGTTGGGCAGACTGCATATTTCTGGACTGCCAAAAGCCTTTGATACAGTACCGCATATGAGACTGCTATTCAAGCTCGAGAGGCAGGCGGGGGTGGGGGGAAAGGTCCTAGCATGGATAAGGAACTACCTAACAGGAAGGAGCCAAAGGGTTATGGTAAGGGGGCGAGAAGTCGGAGTGGCGAAGAGTAATAAGTGGAGTACCACAAGGATCGGTGCTGGGACCAATTCTATTTCTTGTATATGTTAACGACATGTTTACAGGCGTAGAGTCCTACATGTCGATGTTTGTGGATGACGCAAAGTTGATGAGAAGAGTTGTGACAGATGAGGATTGCAGGATCCTCCAAGAGGACCTGAACAGCTTGCAGAGATGGTCAGAGAAATGGCTACTGGAATTCAACACGAGCAAATGTAAAGTTATGGAAATGGGACTAGGAGATAGGAGACCAAAGGGACAGTACACAATGAAGGGAAACAGCCTACCTGTGACGACGCGCGAAAGAGACCTGGGTGTGGACGTAACACCTAATCCATCTCCCGAGGCACATATAAATAGGATAACGACAGCAGCGTACTCTACACTGGCAAAAGTTAGAACATCATTCAGAAACCTAAGTAAGGAGGCATTTAGGGCGCTTTGCACTGCCTACGTGAGGCCAGTCTTAGAGTATGCCGCCTCATCATGGAGTCCCCATCTGAAGAAGCATATAATGAAACTGGAAAAAGGTTCAGAGGTTTGCAACGAGACACACACATATTGAGAGAGAAAAAGACTTGGGGGTTGACATCACGCCAGACCTGTCCCCTGCAGCCCATGTCAAGAGGATAACATCAGCGGCATATGCCAGGCTGGCCAACATAAGAACGGCATTCAGAAACTTGTGTAAGGAATCATTCAGAATTTTGTATACCACATATGTCAGACCAATCCTGGAGTATGCAGCCCCAGCATGGAGTCCATATCTAGTCAAGGATAAGACCAAACAGGAAAAGGTTCAGAGGTTTGCCATCAGACTAGTACACGAGCTGAGGTTGCGTTGTAACCCGTTCTTGCACTTGCTTATGGTCAATATTGGCTTATTTAATAACTGCATATGTGACATACTAATTTATTGTGAATATTTTAGTTTACCTTGAAAAGCTTCATAGAAAACACCGACCTCACCTAACCTTCTTAGTATGTTAAGATAAGCATCTTATTGCTTCTTAATTACAATTATTACTTAACCTATACTGTTGATAGGCTAAGTAATAATTGTAAATAAGAAGCAATAAGATGCTTATCTTAACATACTAAGAAGGTTAGGTGAGGTCGGTGTTTTCTATGAAGCTTTTCAAGGTAAACTAAAATATTCACAATCAATTAGTATGTCACATATGCAGTTATTAAATAAGCCAATATTGACTGTAAGCAAGTGCGAGAACGGGATGAATGAGCCACAGAGATATTAGAAAGAACTATTTTAGTGTCAGAGTGGTTGACAAATGAAATGCATTAGGAAGTGATGTGGCGGAGGCTGACTCCATACACAGTTTCAAGTGTAGATATGATAGAGCCCAGTAGGCTCAGGAACCTGTACACCTGTTGATTGACGGTTGAGAGACGGGACCAAAGAGCCAGAGCTCAACCCCTGCAAGCAGAATAAGGCGAGTACACAATTTATATATATATATATATATATATATATATATATATATATATATATATATATATATGAATAATGGATATAAAAACACAGAAATAAACACTACAATAAGACGACACCTGGACCAATGGTACAATCCTGAACCAAGAACAGAATCTACAACACCTCCAATAAAATTATATTATAAATCCACCATGCACAGTGAACATAAAAAAGAAGAACGAATAATGAAAGAAATAATCAGTAAAGGAGTAAAAAGCATTACTCCTAACCAAAACATAAACCTGATAATGTTCTATAAAACAAAGAAGACTACCGACCTCCTTATTAACAGCAGCCCGAAGCCGACGGAGAACCCTTTACAACAGTCAAACGTGGTATATAACTACACCTGACCTCACGAAGGATGTAATCTTCAGTCTAGGTACAGAGGTATGACGTCGACCAAGCTGACGAGGCGTTAGACCTGTCATCTACAATCAGGTGCCCCCCAAAAATCACATGAGACAAGCCCATGACATCACCCTAACAAGAGAAATGTTGAATAAAAACACTTGTATAATAGATAAAACCCAAGATGTAAGAAGATTGCAAATTCTTGTAATTCTTGCCAGCACTAAGCTTCCAGCATGCCAGCACTAAGCTTCCAGCATGCCAGCACTAAGCTTCCAGCATGCCAGCACTAAGCTTCCAGCATGCCAGCACTAAGCTTCCAGCATGCCAGCACTAAGCTTCCAGCATGCCAGGACTAAGCTTCCAGCATGCCAGCACTAAGCTTCCAGCATGCCAGCACTAAGCTTCCAGCATGCCAGCACTAAGCTTCCAGCATGCCAGCACTAAGCTTCCAGCATGCCAGCACTAAGCTTCCAGCATGCCAGCACTAAGCTTCCAGCATGCCAGCACTAAGCTTCCAGCATGCCAGCACTAAGCTTCCAGCATGCCAGCACTAAGCTTCCAGCATGCCAGCACTAAGCTTCCAGCATGCCAGCACTAAGCTTCCAGCATGCCAGCACTAAGCTTCCAGCATGCCAGCACTAAGCTTCCAGCATGCCAGCACTAAGCTTCCAGCATGCCAGCACTAAGCTTCCAGCATGCCAGCACTAAGCTTCCAGCATGCCAGCACTAAGCTTCCAGCATGCCAGCACTAAGCTTCCAGCATGCCAGCACTAAGCTTCCAGCATGCCAGCACTAAGCTTCCAGCATGCCAGCACTAAGCTTCCAGCATGCCAGCACTAAGCTTCCAGCATGCCAGCACTAAGCTTCCAGCATGCCAGCACTAAGCTTCCAGCATGCCAGCACTAAGCTTCCAGCATGCCAGCACTAAGCTTCCAGCATGCCAGCACTAAGCTTCCAGCATGCCAGCACTAAGCTTCCAGCATGCCAGCACTAAGCTTCCAGCATGCCAGCACTAAGCTTCCAGCATGCCAGCACTAAGCTTCCAGCATGCCAGCACCAAGCTTCCAGCATGCCAGCACTAAGCTTCCAGCATGCCAGCACTAAGCTTCCAGCATGCCAGCACTAAGCTTCCAGCATGCCAGCAGCAAGCTTCCAGCATGCCAGCAGCAAGCTTCCAGCATGCCAGCACCAAGCTTCCAGCATGCCAGCACTAAGCTTCCAGCATGCCAGCACTAAGCTTCCAGCATGCCAGCACTAAGCTTCCAGCATGCCAGCACTAAGCTTCCAGCATGCCAGCACTAAGCTTCCAGCATGCCAGCACTAAGCTTCCAGCATGCCAGCACTAAGCTTCCAGCATGCCAGCACTAAGCTTCCAGCATGCCAGCACTAAACTTCCAGCATGCCAGCACTAAGCTTCCAGCATGCCAGCACTAAGCTTCCAGCATGCCAGCACTAAGCTTCCAGCATGCCAGCAGCAAGCTTCCAGCATGCCAGCACTAAGCTTCCAGCATGCCAGCAGCAAGCTTCCAGCATGCCAGCACTAAGCTTCCAGCATGCCAGCTTCCAACCTGGCATAAACACATGTCACTCGAGGGTCACTGAACACACTGAGGTTCAAGCACTTCCTGTCGCCTCGAACGAGGGAGTTCACTTGAAAAAAAATGATAAAGAAAGTCTCATTTTCTCCAGAGATTTGAGTGTGGAATAATTGTGGAAGCTGCGATATAAGAAAGAGACTTACCGAGAGTATCTTAAGGTAACGTCCTTCCATGGCGAGGTGGGAACCAACACTGGCTGGCCACACCGTGCCTCCCTTCGCTGCCACAACCTGGCCGGGTCCGCCTCTTTTTCTACCTCAGTGGCCTCACAACCTTGAAAATCCAAGGAGGGTGGGTGGCTGGCGGCCGGCTGGCGGGATGGATGGATGGTGGATTGCTGGTGTAATCACGGGAGATGGGTCACGGACGTGGATGTGGTGTGGATCTGAAGCCATCAAGCAATATCCATCATCAACCACAGCTCACGACAGCCCGGTCTTCCTATGTGACCAGCTACACATTTAAGGGAGTCCTGTAACACCTACCTGACCTATGGAATCCGATGCTCGTTTGTCTGAGGGAGCGTAAATATTATAGTGCTTAGTGTATCAAAGTATATTCATGTCTGCACTTGATCGAGGAAAATAATGTCCAAGGAAAATCGACAGAAACTAACCCAATAAATTGTTGCAAAAGTGGACATGACAAGAAACAGAAGCCATAAGTCACTGCAGCAGACAGCTAGTATGGCAGGACGACTGAGGAGTCAGCGCTATACCATGCACCACATGTATAGGTTACACGCCTGTAACCCACCATCCCGTCATCAACCCACATGTTCGCGAACCATTTGCACGTCTCGGATTTTCAAGGCTGTGACGTCACCAAGGTAAACAAACGACTTGGTTGTGCCAGATTTAAAAAATGAAGATCAAACCACTTTGGAAGATAGGAAAAAGGTCTAGAATAAATTTAAATATATTAAATAGTATATAAAATCAATCATCAATGATAATTACTTTAAAAGCCTTTATGGTAGTATAAAGAAATGAGTAAGGAACATTTCTTAACTCCGGCCACAGGTAGAACCACTGGCAAACGATTAGGTTAAGGAAAACCTGTTGGAAATATGTGAGAATGTTGTTGCTGCTAAGTATTGTTGTTGACGACTGGAGCGTCCATGGGGCTCATTGCCTCTAGAATCTAGCTTCTCTCTAGACGTTGACAGTCAGCACCACAATCAAGAAGCTGGATAACGAGTAAACAGGCAGACGAGTCTGTCACCTGAAACGCATAAAAAGACGATAGCATTGACGCATACTAGAATTATTCAGATAATTGTTCACTACATACGTGAGACCATCACTAGAGGATGCACCGCACCTCGACAGTCACCAGCATAACATCGAGGCTGGAATATGATGCGATGAGAGACTGAGCACTAGTCAAGAGCCAGAGGCGTCTCGGTCACAAGTAACGAGATAATCAGAGACAATGTCCTGTGCTTAAGTCCAGTCTACCAGCAGCATGGACACCACAACACTACTTATCAGCAAAAGGACGTTATGTGTCAAACACAGGAAAGTATTTCTTCAGTGCATAGTTGGTTGAAGTAGATATTATGAACGCTTAGAACTCATATTTTATTGTGAAAAAATGATCGCTAAGCCTTCACCCTTAAAAGGGTACAGGGTCTATCCTAGAAAAAATGAGCGCTCGGTTGTCACTCTTAAAAGGGTCCCAAGGTCTGACCTGGAAATTACAGCAAAGTTGCCACCCATTTTTGAGTAAATTTTGGCAGAGTCCTAATTTGTCACTGCAGATTTAAAGAGTTTATGGGGGGAAAAATACTTTCTTCCACGTTAAGGAATTCCTATGTAGAAAATATATGCGCTATGCTGTTCCCATTTATGAGTAAAGTTAAGATCAGAGGAAGTCCATTTTTGGAGGACATGTTCATCAGGAGTTTGCTAAGTAATTACTAGTATCAGAAGCTAGTTCTTGGACCTGGTTCTACACGTTTATAAGTGTAGTTTCGGTACTAACAATTCAATTCCCCTGAAATTTAAAACCGACGAATTTCAGGCATAGCAAGAAAAGAAAATAGTTACGCTAAGCCCCAAAATCATCTCAAGGTAACCTCATGGTATCTGTTCCATGAGACGAGCTTCGGCTCATGGAACATTGTCTCTTGTAAAAAGAACAATCTTGTAAAAAGAACAAAAAAAGAACAAAAAAGAACAATTACAGACAATCTACTTACCTATTTTTGGCAATACTCGAGTATTTACCCTCAACATCTCTATTCTCAGGGCATGTTCTTACATGTTCTTCATATACTCTAGGCATATTCTTACATGTTCTCTTTACATTCCTAGCATGTTCTTCACAAGTTCTTTGTTTAATCTTTATACTCTGTATATTCTCTTTACGTTTTTCCTGTTCTCAGCTTGTACTCTGTATGTGTTCTCTACAAGTTCAATTCATGTTCTCCACATGTTCTCTGTTCTTTTCATATTCTTTCATGTTTTCGGTTTCCTTAAACCAAATATACGATTGTTTTTGTCATGCAGTAACTAGTTCATTGTTGTACATTATCAACCTCATTAATCCTTCCCAAACAATTTATTTATTTACAGATTTATTTAGTTTTTTTTACAAATTATTTAGGTATTTACAAATTTAATTACCGTAGGGGATGAT